TATTTGGAATTGAAAACATTGCCTTTCTCTGCTGCTCTGCTGTTTTCTTTTGTTTGTTTGTTTGTTTTTTGTTTTTTTATGAATCAAGTATTTGTATATGCATGGGTCTGTTTCTGGCTCTTTATGCTGCTCCACTGGTCTTTGTTTATTCTTGTTTCATGAAAGCACCCTGCCTCAACTACTAAAGCTTTATAGTAAGTTTGTTGTTGATAGAACAAGACCCTCACCTTTTTGTTGTTGTTGTTGTTTGTTTTGTTTGTTTGTTTTGAGAGTATCTCAGCTATTTCCTGGCTCTTTGTAGTTCCACATGAATTTTAGAATCATTGTGTCAAGTTCTACAAAAACACCTATTGGAACTGTATAAAATCTATAAATCAATTTGGAAAGAACTGACATTTTTACAATATCCTTGTATTAGTCCATTTTCACACTGCTATAAAGATACTACCTGAGACTGGGTAATTTATGAACAAAAGAGGTTTAATTGACTCACAGTTCCACATGGCTGGAGACTCCTCAGGAAACTTACAATCATGGCAGAAGACGAAGGGGAAGCAAGGCACATCTTACATGGTGGCAGGAGAGAGAGAGCATGCAGGGGAAACTGCCACTTTTAAACCATCAGATATCATGAGAACTCTTTCACTATCACAAAAGCAGCATGGGGGAAACTGCTCCCATGATCCAATTACCTCCCACCAAGACCTTCCCTCGACAGTGGGAATTACAACTGGATATGAGATTTGGGTGGGACACAGAGCCAAACCACATCAATCATCTTTCAATTAATGAACATGGTTTGTATCTCCTATTAGATTGCCTCTATTTTCTCGAATGTCTTCTAGTTTTCTGAGTGGAGATCTTGCACATCTTTGATTACATTTCTTCCTAGAGATGTGACCTATTTTAGCCATGTTGCAGGTGCCCTTTTTTTTTTTTTTTTTTTTTTTTGAGGCAGGGTCTAACTCTGTCACTCAGGCTGGAGTGCAGTGGCACAATCATGACTTACTTCAGCCTCCACCTCCCAGGCTTAAGTAATCTTCCCACCTCAGCCTCCCAAGTAGCTGGAACCACAGGCATGTGTCACTACCACCCGACTATTTTTTTTTTATTTTTGTAGAGATGAGGTCTCACTATGTTGCCCGGGCTGATATGTGGCATTTTTTACATCTTTTTTAACTGTTACTGGTAAGCACTAACTTTTTAATTTTCTCTTTTAATTTAAATATTAAAAGTTTGTATCATGCATGGCCAGGCGTGGTGGCTCATGCCTGTAATCCCAGCACTTCGGGAGGTCGAGGCAGATGGATCACCTGAGGTTAGGAGTTCAAGACCAGCCTGGACAACATAGTGAAACCCCGTCTCTACTAAAAATACAAAAATTTCAAATGTGTCTTTTGCAAATATTTCCTTCCAGTCTGTGGTTTGTCTTCTCATTCTCTTGACATTGTCTTACTCAGAACAGATATTTTTAATTTTAATGAAATTCAGCTTATCAATTATTTCTCTGATGGATCATACCTTTGGTGTTGTATCTAAAATATCATTGCCATTGCCATACCCAAAGTTATTTAAGGTTTCTCCTGTCATCTTCTAGGAGTTTTATAGTTTTGCATTTTACATTTAGGTTTATGATCCATTTTGAGTTAATTTTTGTGAATGGTATAAGGTCTGTGTCTCAGTTAATTTTCCGGCATGTGGACGTCTAGTTGTTCCAACACCATTTGTTGAAAAGAACAATATTTGCTCCATTGTATTGCCTTTGCTTCTTTGTCAAAGACCAGTTGACCATATTTATGTGGGCCTATTTCTAGGCTCTTTATTCTGCTTCATTGATCTATTCTCTCACCGATACTACACTATCTTGATTACTTTGGCCTTATAGTGAGCATTGAAGTTAGGTAGTGTCAGTCCTCCAACTCTATGTTCTTCTTCAATATCGTGTTGGTTATTCTTGGTCTTTTGCCTGTCCATATAAACTTTAGAATTAGTTTGTTGATATTCAGAAACTAACCGGCTAGGATTTTTATTGGAATTGCATTTAATCTATAGACCAATTTGGGAAGAGGTGACATCTTGATAATACTGAGTCTTCCTATCCATGGACATGGAAAAATCTCTACATTTATTTAGTTCTTTTTAGATTTCTTTCATTGGAATTTTTTAGTTTTCCTTATATAGATCTTGTACATATTCTGTTAGATTTATATCTAAGTGTTTAACTTTGGGAGATGCTAATATATATGGCATCATGCTTTTTATTTAAAATTCCACTTGTTTATTGCTCATACATAGGAAAATAATTGATTTTTTATATATTAACATTGTATTCTGCAATCTTGCTGTAATAGCTTATTAGTTCCGGGATTTTTTTTTTTTTTTTTTTTTTTTTTTTTTTTTTTTTTTTGCTGATTCTTTCAGATTTTCTATGTAGATGATAGTGTCATCTGCAAACAATGACAGTTTTAGTTCTTACTTCCCAATTTATATGCCATTTCATTCCTTGTCTTGAATACAGAAAGAATCAAGACTTAATATTTTATACTTGAGCCACATTCCTGTCTTAGGAATTCCAAAATGTGACCCTTCCCTTATTTTAACCTTGGCAGACAACTGGGATTGATGACAATATTTCATAATAGCTTAAGGTCTGTATCACACTAATCTCCATTCTCTAAATTCAGAATCCTTTTGATTATATTTATAAATTTACATATCTGCAGTTAAAACTGGTTCAGAACCAAATGATCAAGACTTTTACCAAGTTTTTTCTATCTCATACAATATGAATATTCAATGTATGTGGTAAATAAATATGATGAGTAAAAAGTATAATGTATAATGTTTTGTATATTTTAATACTTTCTTGACTTAACCCACTTTATATGATCAGTCATTTTATGTTTTGTCCCAATAATTCTCCTTGGACCATTCTGATTTTACAGTGATGTAGAATGTCCCTCTATAGCCTTATGGAATTTTAATCAAATAGCTTTTGCTCAGAACTTAAAAAGACATTTGTCCTTGGGACTAAAATTAGCCATGAAAAAGATTAAAAACAAAGCAAATTTAGAATATAATCAGTACTTTCAAAATGAGCTCAATCTGTACTTCATCTTCATTTATAACACTTGCTTCTTCTTAGCGTCTAATAGAATAAGCAATAGTTGTGCAAAGAATGTATTTACATTTCTGAGGTTCCAAAAACAGGTGAACCTCACAAGCCCATGCTCTTTTGTGTTTTGCAATGTCACAGGCCGCCTTGGTTGGAATGATTCACATAATGATCACTCTCTGAATAGGAAAAAATTCAAAGTTCTATGCATTTTCAACAGATGTTCTATACATTTTCAACAGATGTCCTATTCCTGCATTTTTTTCAGTTATTAAGTATAGTACCTTTTTTCCTACTCTGGTAAATGGATCTGTTTGGATACCACCTTTCTTTCAAACACTATTTTCAAAAAGGACCTCAGCAGTGCTTAAAGACTCCTGTTATGGTTTGAGTGTGTCACTCAAAAGTTCATGTGTTAGAAATTTAATCCCCAATGCAATAGCTTTGGGAGGTAGGGCCTAATAAGAGGTGATTGGGTCGTAAGTGTGGAACTTTCACAAATAGATTAATAATATGAGCAGGTTAGTTGTCTCAAGAGGAGGCTGTTACAAAGCAAGTTCAGTTTCGGTATCTCTCTCTGTTGCAAGTGCTCTCTTCCACCTTTCACCCTCTGCAATAAGATGATCATCTTATTGCATCCTCACCAGATGCTGGTACCGTGTTCTTGGACTTCTCGTTCTCCAATAACCATGAGCCAAATAAACTTCTATCATTTATAATTTACCCAGTCTGTGGTATTGTGTTGTAGAAGCAGAAAATGACTAAGACAACTCCACTACCTGGCCAAGAGGAACCTCAAGTATCACAGAATTAGCAAAGGGATGTCCAAAGCTAATTAAGTGCCAATATACTTGAGAGATATTTTTAAAATGCAGAAATTATAGTTTGTTGGACTAAACCAGGCAAGGCACCCAATTGGGAAGTCTTTCTGAGACATTTTAACTTTAAGCACTTGTTTTGATGATTTGGAAAGGCCTGGATGGAAATATAACTAATATTTATCAGGGTATTATGTGGGTTATTGCTGACATCTGAAGTTGAGGTTAATAATTCAACTGATTATCAAATAGATTCCAAGAATTTGGATAAAATATTTACCAATTAATATATACAGAGGGATAGATTTAATAACAAGTCCTGATATTTTTCCACATCCCCACTTATACTTTCTCAAATGTACTTAGCTCCTGGCAGCCCCTTGATGGTGTTTGGGGCTAAATGGTTCTTTCTCCATGCACTGTGCTTTTCCATTCCCCACCTCACCTGCCTGTCAAACCAGCTTGGAGGAAACTTGTTTTACTGAGCTCTCTTCAGACATACAATACTCCCTCCCTCACCAGACACCCAAAAAATCTCCTTTCTTTGTGCTGATCAGTTATTTCTATAGTTGCAGTCACTTTATAAACTGAAATTAATTTTTTTGATTTTGGGCTTATCATAGGGCCTGGCTTACAGTAAACACTCAGAAAATGCAATAACCACAGGTAGGGAATAGGGAAGGATTTCGTCAATTTCTTCCTGCTCTGAAGGAACTTCTAAGCCCCTGAAAGCCAGAAACCAAACAAGAAACAAAGCGAAATTCTCAGGAGCACCTTTTTGCTGAAAAGAGAACTCCAAATACCCAAAATTTAGTCAACTATTCATATCCATATCCTTTCAGGAGTAGGCAGTTATATATAATTTTAGGAATACTAAATAGAGAATAGGATCATAATTTCAGCTGGTCACTGACATTTAGCTCTTCTTCCTGCTGACATTTACAAAAGAAAATACAGAGAGTTAAAGTCTATGAAGTCTTTCAGGGTCTATAATACATCTTTCTTCTAAGGGCACTCTTGTCTATTTATAGTGATATATCCAGGTGCAAATTACAAAGAAATCTTACTGTTTACACTCAGGCTGATGCTGTCCTGCTGTAAAAGAAAATTGGCTGCATGTGGACTTGTCCAGTTGTTTTTTCCGGTAACTGCCTATGTATGTTGTCATGGAAGAATCTGACCATCGTGTTTCATCCTGCCAAGATGCTCCAGCCTTGCGTCTGATCAGATCAAACTCTTGAGAAGTAAGAGGGCTAAAGGGCAGAAGAATTTGTGGAGTCAAGTAGAAGAAGTGTGACATAACTACGAATGGCCTGCTCTGGATGAAAACTTGTCAAGTCCTCTGCATAATGAAGAATTAATTTCCTTCTAGTAGCAGGAAGCAATTGACTGGGCTCACCAAACTTTGTGACTCAACAGTTCACAGAGTGCAGAAGCTTAAATGTCTTAGATATAGTTGCCAAGCAACAGATCACAAAATTCCACAAATGCTACCCCCTTGCCTCCCGAGGGAGGCAAATTTTAACTAATAAATTTGTAAGTTATATAACTTTCTGGATTTTGCTCTAAGAAATATGCTGCTTCATAATTCTGGCAAGAAAGCAGGTGGCAAAATTATTTGTGTTTTACTGCTATCACAAATAAAGCAGTAATTCCTAATGATGGTGGTTCAAGAAGTGGAAATGAGATGAAAGAACAGTGCCAAGCATTCACTTCTCCTAAAGACCTCCAAGTGTCTGGAAGAGAACATGAACTGCCTGTAATGTCAACAATAGCAGGTGACTCAACAGCTTCTCATATGTCACAGAGTAGTGGTGCTCTGGCTGGCTGCACACTAGTCACCCTGGAAGCTGTTAAAATAAGCAGGACTCCAGGCCCCCACCACAGAGATTCTGATTTAGTTGATGTGGAGCAGGGCCCAGGCATCACTATTTGTTTAAAGCTTAATCCTGGAGGATTCTAAAGAGCAGCCAGGGTTAAGAATTAAGGTCATGGACGCAGAAAAAACTTTTGACAAAATCCAGCATCCCTTTAGGATTAAAACTTGAGGCAAAATTGGCAAGAAGGGACATACCTCAAAATATTAAAAGCCATCTATGAAAAACCCACAGCCAACATTATACTGAATGGGGAAAAGTTGAAAGCATTCCTCCCGAGAACTGGAAAAAGAAAAGGATGCCCACGTTCACTACTTCTATTCAACATAGTACTGGAAGGCCTAGCCAGAGCAATCAGACAAGAGAAAGAAATAAAGGACATCCAGATCAGTAAAGAGGAAGTCAAACAGTTGCTGTTCACCGATGACATGATCATATACCTAGAAAATCCTAAAGACTTATCCAAAAACCTTCTAGATCTAATAAATGAATTCAGTAAAGTTTCAGGATACAAAATCAATGTACGCAAATCAGTAGCACTGTTATACACCAACAGCAACCAAGCTGAGAATCAAATCAAGAACTCAACCCTTTTTATAACAGTTGCAAAAATAAATAAATAAATAAATAAAATACTTAGGAATACACCTAACAAAGGAGACGGAAGATCTCTACAAGGAGGATGGGCACGGTGGCTCACGCCTGTAACTCAGCACTTTGGGAGGTCAAGGTAGGCAGATCACAAGGTCACGGGATTGAGACCATCCTGACTAACACGGTGAAACCCCATCTCTACTAAAAAGTACAAAAAATTAGCCAGGCATGGTGGTGGGCACCTGTAGTCCCAGCTACTCAGGAGACTGAGGCAGGAGAATGGCGTGAACCTGGGAGGCGGAGCTTGCAGTTAGCTGAGATCGCGCCACTGCACTCCAGCCTGGGTGACAGAGCGAGACTCCACCTCAAAAAAAGAAAAAAAAAGATCTCTCCAAGGAAAACTACAAAACACTGTTGAAAGACGTCATATATAACACAAATAAATGGAAAAACATCCCTTGCTCATGGATGGGTGGAATTAATATTGTGAAAATGACCATATTGACAAAAACAATCTATAAATTCAATGCAATTTCCATCAAAATGCCATCATCATTCTTCACAGAAGTAGAAAAACAATCCTAAAATTCATATGGAATAAAAAAAAAATCTGTGTAACCAAAGCAAGACTAAGCAAAATGAACAAATCTGGAAGCATCACATTACCCATCTTAAAAGTATACTACAAGGCTATACTTACTAAAACAGCATGGTACTGGTATAAAAATAGCCACATAGACCAATTGAACAGAATAGAGAACCCAGAAATAAAGCCAAATACTTATAGCCAACTGATCTTCAACAAAGCAAACAAAAACATAAAGTGGGGAAAGGGCACCCTATTCAACAAATGGTGCAGGGATAATTGGCAAGCCACATGTAGAAGAATGAAACTAGATCTTCGTCTCTCACCTTATAAAAAAATTGACTCAAGGTGGATCAAAGACTTAAATCTAAGACCTGAAACCATAACAATTCTAGAAGATAACATAGGAAAAACTCTTCTAGACATTGGCTTAGGCATAGACTTCATGACCAAGAACTCAAAAGCAAATGCAACAGAAACAAAGTTAAGCAGATGGGATCTAATGAAACTAAAAAGCTTCTGCACAGCAAAAGATATAATCAGCAGAGTAAACAGACAACCCACAGAGTGGGAGAAAATATTTGCAAACCATGCAAAGTTTGCAACAAAGTCCTTTGTTCTAGACAAAGGACTATCCAGAATCGAGAAGGAACTCAAACAAATCAGCAAGAAAAAAACCAAATAATCCCAGCAAAAAGTAGACTGAGCATATGAATAAACAATTCTCAAAAGGAGACATACAAATGGTCAACAAACATATGAAAAAATGCTCAACATCACTAATTATCAGAGAAATGCAAATCAAAATGAGGTATCACCTTACTCCTGCAAGAATGGCCATAACTTAAAAATAAAAAAAAAATAGATGGTGGCATGGATGTGGTGAAAAAGGAACACTTTTATACTGCTGGTAGGAATGTAAACTAGTACAACCACTATGGAAAAGAGTATGGAGATTCCTTAACTAAAAGTAGAACTACCATTTGATCCAGAAATCCCAGTATTGGGTATCTATCCAGAGGAAAAGAAGTCATTATATGAAAACGACACGTGCACACGCATGTTTATAGCAGCACAATTTGCAATTGCAAAAATATGGAACCAGTCTACATGCCCATTAACCAAAGAGTAGATAAAGAAAATGTGGTATATATAGATACCAGGGAATACTACCCAGCCATAAAAAAAGAACGAAGTAATGGCATTTACTGCAACCTGGATGGAGTTGGAGGCCATTATTCTAAGTGAAGTAACTAAGGAATGGAAAACCAAACATCATATGTTCTCACTCATAAGTGGAAACTAACCTATGAGGACACAAAAACATAAGAATTATATAATGGACTTTGGGGACTCTGGGGCAATGGTGGGAGGCAGGTGAGGGATAAAAGATGATACATTGGGCACAGTGTATACTGCTCAGGTGATGAGTGCACCAAAATCTCGGAAATCACCACTAAGGAACTTACGCACGTAACCAAAAACCACCTGTTGCCCCAAAAACTATTGAAATGCTTAAAAAGCACATTTCCTCTTTAAAAAGAGAGAGAGAGAGAGAATTAAGGTCATGGAAATGCCACTGTGAACTTTTTTACGTTGAGAAGTCATAGCATTTGATCTTCTATTCACTTGAATCCCTCCATTCTTCACTAATAATTACTGTAAATCTGATTATTATGTTTGCCCATCTTCACTTCTCCAGATTAAAAAGCAATTCATTGGCAAATCAAAATGAAATTACTCTCTCAACGTTTGTTCTTTTTTTTTTTTTTTTTCTTTTGAGCCAGAGTTTCGCTCTGTTGCCCAGGCTGGAGTGCAGTGGCGCAATCTTGCCTCACTGCAAGCTCCGCCTCCCGGGTTCACAACACTCACCTGCCTCAGCCTCCCGAGTAGCTGGGACTACAGGCGCCCGCCATCGCGCCGGGCTAATTTTTTTGTATTTTTAGTAGAGACGGGGTTTCACCGGGTTAGTCAGGATGGTCTCGATCTCCTGACCTCGTGATCCGCCTGCCTTGGCCTCCCAAAGTGCTGGGATTACAGGTGTGAGCCACCGCGCACGGCTGTTTGTTCTTTTTTAAAATTAACTGTTGGTGCAGTAGTTCTCAACCCCCATTGCTCATTCAAGTAACCCTCGGTATTCTTTATAGACACAGATGCCATGTACATTCCCCGCTTCACTCCAATCAGAAGTGCCAATTAGCAACTCTGCAAGTGGAGCTATCATTAAGTGCTGAAAAAAAGAATTTCGATAGAGGATTTAATCAGCACCAATAGGGCCCATTAAACCGGCAGAACTCTCAGCTCTATCTTCAGAGACTGTAGGTCTGAGGTAAAGCCCCGGGATCTGCATTTTTATATTGTTCCATGATTCTGCTGCAACTGGTCTTTGAATGCAGGTGACAGACACTGCTCCAGGGATTGAATTTAAAGTCTTTTAAAGTCAGGCTGACACACTATATGGTATGTTTCTCTGAGAATGAGACTATTTGCAAATACTTGTTAGTATGTTTCCTTATGGTTTCTTCCTTAAAATGTTGAAATTTGGAACATAAGCACATTTGCCCTAGAAAAAGAATTAGGCAGATGTTGGCAGGCTTAGCTGCTTTTTATCATGGAGTTCAAGACTTTTTGGAGAAATCCAGATTAGATAAAAAGATGACAGAAGCCAGGGGTGGCGGCACACACCTGTAGTTCCAGTTACTTAGGAGGCTGAGATGGGAGGATCACTTGAGCCTAAGAGTTTGAGTCCAGCCTGGGCAACAGAGTAAAACCCTATCTCTATTTTTTTAAAAAAGACTATGAAGATAAAGAGTGAAGGAGAGAAAGGAACACTGGGCTGTCCAGGTCTTTCTAACCCATTCGTTATCAGGTAGTGGCTGCTTGAGGAGAACTCTGCCAGCAGTATGTATTGTTTTGACACAGGAAAATAAATAGACAAAATTGTGAAGATTGTTTGTAAAAAAAATTTAAAAATTTTCTTCTCAAAGTATGTGTTAGTCTATAAATGAATATGGAATAAAATAAGGTCTTTTAAAAATGCATTATAGTATCAGTGTGCTTTGTTATAACTTTCCTGCCTCTATAATATTTTACTTTTCCCATAATCAGTTATGATATCATTTCAACAATTATAACCTCAAAAACCAAAAGTAGCCAAACTTAAGGGAAAATGTCTACTCTTGGGTTTAGATGGAATTATGACTTAGTTCAGCAGTCCACTAGATGTTGAACAAATCTGTTAAAAATAAATTGGACTGGCTGGTCGCGGTGGCTCACACCTGTAATCCTAGCACTTTGGGAGGCCGAGGCAGGCAGATTGCCTGAGTTCAGGAGTTTGTGACCAGCCTGGGCAACATGGTGAAACCATGTCTCTATTAAAATACAAAAAATTAGCTGGGCATGGTGGCATGCAC